TGTGCCCATCCACTACATACGCCTGGAGGTCTTCAATGCCACAACGGAGCGCCGGATTACCCTTTTGCAACCGGCGATCCAGGATGGATAGCGCAAGGTACTCGTTCAGCGAAGAAATTTCTTTATCAACCTCTATTCAGTTCCCTGTGTTCTTTGTCCTTGCATCGTCCAGAGCATTAAAGGGAAGCTCCAGTTTTGTGTTGTGTATCCTGATTAAAGCACCACAATTACACTGTTCTTTTCTATTTAGCAATGGGAATTCAGTTTCGTTCTTGGTGGCCATCATCTTAGTTGTGGAACGCATTGTACACTTAAGTTAGAGGCAGTTGGCGCAGAGAAATATGTCTTGACAATTGGCTAAATGGCTTATCTGGTCATCTTGTATACTCGAGCGTTTAAAGCGCAACCAAGCCTTGCAGGAGTGGCATTGCATGCGTCGCCTTACATTTGACAGACGCCCATATCTGTTGTGGTCCACCGATTTTTGATGGGAGCAGCCCGTATTGATTTGTGTCATAGTTAAGACTATGTGCACCCCAAAATTGAGTGCAAACTGACAGAAGTTATCACGCAAAAGTTAGGTTAGAGTGAAACAATCCACAAGCGACAGTTTGAACACTGAAAATGGATTGAAGGGTGAAATAATTCTTTCTCAAATTTGCAGTAGGGAAACTGATTTTAAAGTCCTGCGGAGCTAGCTAATATATCATCCCAGGAGGAAGATGGTCAAGTCAATGAGCATGAATGTTCTCATCGCTGATTTGTTCCTTTTCCATCGATTTGGAATTTAACCCGATTTTCTCTGGAAATGTTAGATATGGCGAAAGGTCAGATACACATTGACTTGCTTCGGCCTACTCGTTTGAGACATCTGAGCAGATGGAGTTTGAACAACCCATTAACCTTTCACCGGTAAGACCAGTCAAGGTCGAGTTTATTGTAGGTCTTCGGAAGGTGAGAGCTTGGCCCAGCATCCAACATTTCGTGTGGGTTGTTCAAGATTGAAAGCAACATGAGGTGTCGGGAAACTCAGGGTCCATGGCTGTTCGACAAACCTATGTAGTCTTGCGGTATTTGGCAACGGGACCGTTACGGTGGCGGAATCAGGTGGTGTGGTGTGCATTGAGTGATTGGGGGAAGACGGGTCCCGATGTGAAAAGAGTTTTTCGATATTTTTCAAAGTTAGGATGGCTGAAGGTGGGAGCGAGCATTTGTTCCGCTGTTTTACGGACCGCATAATTTTCTTTCTGAGATTTAAGTTTGTCCGTGTAGGCTCCGAACGTCCGTGCCATTTAGCACTGGTGTGAGCTGTTGGAAACAGCTGTCGGCCATATCTTTAATAGAATACTTTATCGAAAAGCGTGTGGTGGAGCGTGCATCTTTAAGGAAATGGGTGTTGGCTGTGGATTAGCCATGCTGGGATGAGTTGTTGCCTTCCAGGATGTCGATAGACGGTTCTGACTGACCGATTATCCCAGAAAAAACCTAAACTGTGCCGTGCCGCGCCGTCCAATCAGTTGTGCAGAGTTGTTTTTCTTTGTGCCTCGCTTTATGTTACCCCGGTTTGTAATGAGAGCAAGGGCATCTGTGACGTCTCAAACCGGGTATGCTTCTTCATTTTCATGGCATTTTATCTTTGCACTGCCCTGAGACCCGCGCACTTAAAAGCTGCTCTCCGACTGTGCTTGGGAGGAAACCTAGAATACTGTCTCTCTGTCGTTTCACATCGTTGTTTCCATTACTGCACCAGCACAATTCCTAACAGGTTTGACATTTAGCCGCACTTCATGTAACCACCGATATTCCGTCAACAGATTCACCCCGCAGTGTAGTTGCAGCCCACAATGGCCCTCATAAGTAGGCCTTAAACTGGATGCTTTAATTGCCGTGGTAGAACACGTTCAGTAGGGAAATAGCTCCCGAACTTTCCAAAGGAGATGAGGAAGACCCGGCGGATGAGGTTGTTTTTTAAATGCAAACATTTTTCTGAAGCTGGTGCAGGACTGTATACCATGTGTCAGGTCTGCTCAAGTTTAAATGCGCCATGTTAAGGGACGCGAGAATTCATTGTTGCGAACGTTTCAAGGATGTTCAAAACTAGTATACTAGGATGGCATCTTTAAAATCAAAGCGTTCACACTTCACTAATGGTGGCATTTTAAGACGGCCTGAGAGTGACCACTGTATTCGTCTAGCAAAGGCAGCTATGTCGCCACCTAACACGGTCCCTTTGTCTCCTATAGACAACACATTTCGGTATGTATTTGACGCCCACGATTAGTATGAGCGTATGGTGAACGATGCAGAGTTTCACGTGAGTGCAACTTGGCTTCGCTATTTGCGCCGAAGAAACTTTCTGCGCAGTTTCTTTTCGATCGTTTGAAGGTTTTCGCATTTAACCAAAGACAAGTGAACACAACGAGTGCAAGCATAGCTTAGCCAGCTGAGAAGCCCTCATTCAGAAGTTCAAATTTTCCCGGGGCAGGATCGTTAATGTTATCAAGAATAACGGATGAACTTTTGCAGGATTTCAGCGTTTCACCGATACGTCAATAGGCATCACCGTGTCAGACTTCATATGTTAATGTTACTATGTCGCAACGCCCGATACCGCCCTTGTACCATGGTAACACGTTGAAAATACGGCTTATGAGCACTGAAGATCAGAGCACACTAAGTACATCAGACGCCTGAGCGATGTCCCTTCGACGCCCAATGGATGTCACTGGTATCCGCTAGACAGGAGAATACCATCTAACTCTAGTCACCAGTATGGATAACATGTCGTGCCAAAATGAGAATGGTGATCTACACCTCAGGACATATATGGTGTTGTTGAAGGGCCCCGGTGATATGTTTCGTTACTGAGCTCAAGCTCCGGCGTACGTACGCGGTTTGCGGCCGGTGAGCCCATGAATTTGAGGTCAACTCAGTAGCAAACGAACAGACTGAGGTGCCGTATGTTGGTGGTACTGATGGGGGGAAACTAGACTACCTGTGCAAAAAACGAGAGATGATATTCAGTGCAGGAACAAGAAAATATAGGTCATGGCATCAGGACCAGAGTGGCTAAGAGGTGACGTCACTGTTCAAAAGACAGATCAGCTGCTAAGGCATCTTTACAGCCCATCCAAACGACTATCCCTCTGTCCAGGCTTGATTATTCGAGGGCCAACCGACGCAAGCGCAAAATCCAGGCACTTTTAACTGCAGCATAAATTTACCCCCAGCGCCCTGCAGCTTTCATGCTTGGAGGTGCTATAACGTCCACAAGCAAACAAATCAACCAACACGGAAAATTCTCATAAAAATGGGTAATCAGCATACGTTTTAGTAGAAGTGATTTTCTACCCACTTATTAGGGGAAACTGTGCAATGGTAAATCTTCAACTCCACCAAAGTGCTAGTCCGACCCAACCCGGTCAATTTAAATGGAATACACGTATTCTAGTGTACGGGCTTGAAGAGGCTGGTCTATATAAACCATCCAACGAGTACGTCAATTTAGCTTGCAGTTGCGAACTCGGAAATATAATCAAAAGTGGAAAACTCAGTGGCTGTAAAAAAACGCACCAAGTTGGACTTAGGTCTTGCGAGACACGAACAAGCCAACTCGTGTTTAGTTACGTTTCCCAACGTGTAACACCTAGTGAAAGTGACGCTCGATACCGTTGCTGGCGGGATACTCAAGTTCCTCATGACAGTTCCACGGCGGTGTAGTTTCCGCAAGGCTATGCACCCAGACGTTAGAGAAGGACAGTTGTTATTGCGCCAACCATCATGCACCATTTTGGTGCACGAAATGGAGTTCAGTGTTCTTTGTCGGAAAACCATATCCAATACTTAATCAGTGTTTCAATCTCAGCGAGGCCCATCTTGGCAAGGATGCTTTTTCAAGCCTACCCTACGAGAAAAAAATGGTTAATCTGGGGTCCTACTCGGAACCATTTCCTTAGCCAGGGGCATCCAAAACAGAAACTCTAGAGGCTTCGAGTATCTTCCTCGAAGCCTTTGAAGTCTGACCGAAAATGGGACCAAAAACACCCAGAAGGTGTGCGGATTCACTGGCGAGTGTTGATGACATGAATTTGGGGACCCAACTTATATTTCCGTGTTAAAGTGTTAGTAGGGGGAAGGAAAAAGTCACTTATTCGTCAACACAAACTGAGCGGCAACAGTTCATTAGAAAAAGAGGTAAACACGTCACATGGTGATGGAGTTTAAAAACCCAACATTCTGACGCTTTTCTGAACTTTCCAAGATATTCGTTGGCTATTACTGCCACGAGGAGGAACACTGAGGGGCAGTGACCAGTTCACCTCGTTTTCGAAAGTACCGAATGAAACCGGGATTCACACATACAATGTTATAGCGTACCGTTTTGATGCGTTTCATATTATCTGAAAACTTAATTGATATTCAGATGAAGAGATACGATTCAACGCTTGTGGAGTCCACGATGCGTTGAGCCGTCGTGCTCCCTCAGGGTCCGCAAAATGGAATTGAATTTTCGGGAACTTCTACGTCTCCATGATGGCCTAATGCAGACAGGCAATTGAGCTCAGAATACCACCCAAACTTTCGAGCCCCAGTAGATATTCTGGGATTCAGTAATTCTGGGAAACTACGCCACCATAATTTTTCAATCACGAGGATGGCTACGTCAGTGGACAATGCAGTTTGGTGAATTACCAGAATAAGAACGTAGATTTGGTTGAATTTCATTCTCCTACATATGCAGCCAAATGCAACCACTCGTAACTGTTTAGCAGTTAAGAGAATCGTTCGGCCAAAGAGGTTCGCTGTCGCATGTAAGAACTCGCAAGCATTGACTGGTACAGACACTCTTCCTGTGAACTTTTCCTGCCCACTAAGTGACCAGGGTAGCGAATGAATGATCCGGGTAAACTCAAGTTTCTTCTTTCTGTCTTGGATCAAAAGCTGATAAGTGCCAGTTAATGGCGCCATTGCCTCGGTTGCTTGTTTTAGTCGATTGGCAACGTTTTCCACCGGGTCCTTCAAATGAAGATTTCGGTGGTTATTTTCTATTTTTTTCAACTTCTTAAAATGGACAAGCCTGGTTTCCGCTTATAACGGTTATTCTGTGGAGGAATTTCTCTTATGTGACAAAAAGGTATCATCCTATGTTCGTATATCTTAGCTTTTATCAAGTAAAATGCAATATGCGTTTAATTGTTCCAAACAATTTAGCCTCCTGTCGGCCTATATTTCAGGTTTTTTGGGTCCCAAGTTCTCCGATAGTGTCCGTCTTTATCGTCTGAATTAGGCGAGGTTCCCCACACGCCAAATTAGGGGATGAGCTTCACATCGGATGAGGTCAATTTCCTCATTTTTCGCTATTTACAGGAGTCTGGTAAGTGCAATAACTTCGATATCAAATATCCAGGTTATTGCCATTCTGCCTACTTGTTTGGTCTTGAAAGCCAAATAAGCCGGTCCAATATTGACGGATCAATCATTCCTCCAGGTTCTCTTTTGAGTCTCATTCAGAAAGGGTTGCAATACACCGAAGCAGAACTCAGCATCGGAGAGGTAATCAACTTTGCTTATTTAACTATATTTTTTCAGGATGGGAGCGAGCGTGTTGTGGAATCTCTCTCCTTGATAGACGCGGTCGTCCCAGATGTTATTGAGCAGCGGAAGAATTCCTTGAAACAGCTACAAAATTCACTACCGCCTTCCGCTGCTGTTGCATGCTGTGGATATGCGACTGTCACATGTAACAACACATCATCAGTCATTGCGCCAAGTCTTTCCCAGGCGGGTAATCCTGCCACCAACATACAGGTGCCAAGCAGCGGGCATACACTTTCTGACGCATCATCTTTATCAAATAGCAGTCATTCCCACTGTGTTGAATCTAACACTCACTCTACTGCGGGTCCGCTGTCTATTAAACCTGAAGGATTTAATTCGAACTCGGTTCCCGCATCCCATGGACCTTACCCTATCCCTTCAGTGAATGTCCTTAACCAGTCAAACGTATTCCCAACCTGTGTTGCGAGCGCAGCCGCAAATCAACAAACCGGTTTTCCTATGAATACCGTAACATCCCCTGCTGTCTGTTCTGGATCTGCAGTTTCCACAGTCAGCCCTGTGACAACATCCCTCCCGACTTCTATTCAGGGAGTACCGAAGGTTGCTGTACCGCAGCCGTCCGTAGTTCGTGCGTCCCTTAATCAGCATGTCCCTCAATCTGTGCTGTTATCTTCTATCCAAACAAATGGAGATAATCACGGAACCTCTGTGGGTAAGTTCTAGGCGCTTTCTCGCGTTGAATTTATGATACCATGTGTACACGGAATGCATGATGATTTTTACATGCCAGTTACTGTGTAATTCTGAGGTGACCCCTATCTGTATGCGCTGTTAATAAGGTTCCTCTGCAGTATTCACGTGACTTAGTGTCAAAGCTAACACCACTTTAAAATCTAAATTTATCTTATCAGACATTTTACACAGTACAAGTGGGGGGCTATGGAGATGATGCCACACCACATGCCGTGAACGTGATACCACCATTTGTCCCTCTGGATATCTTTGATATCATCGGGGTGATTCGATTGGTCCAGTTGATAATTCAATGGCTGAATTACCTCCGCACAAAGGCAGCAGTGTTGTCAATGAGTCAATATTATGTCTAACGCCTTACTCATTTCGACTGTCCATCAATGCACTACATTGGACGAGCATGGTAATCCACTTAAGTCGTTAGAAAGAGATTCTCAATTCCGCCAAAGCCAGTGGAATCCTCAACATTACCTTCGAGACACGCCTTGTTGATGTTGCTGCTTACGAATCGATGGACGACGCGTCGTTCACGACCCCTGGCTTCAAATCTGTAGAGAATTGTTGGTCGTACGGATGTGTTATCTCTTCGACATGCCCGTCACCATAGGTGTTGTCGCGGAGAATTCTTTGATTCTAGTTATCCGCAAGCTGATTTCATCGGCCATATCTGCGGTGGCGAACGTCTGAGTCCTTGATTCCGTCAAGCATCCAACTACTTGGAGTGATCACCAGAAAAGGTTGGACGTCCACTCCTGGTCAATGCTGTTGTTGAGTCCTATGACGGTTTACTCCCTATGAGGACATAGTACTCTGACAATCTTAGACACGAGTTTTCGTCTGCCAATGAGAACAGACGAATGGGACACGTGACTATTTGTTTAACTATTCCGGTCCTTAACCTCAGGAAAATCTCTTGGTATTTTGGGCATCTGTTGAGTTTCCATCTAGGATGGGATTTGTGGATATGACCACCTGTTGACCGGTCCAGACAATCTGCTTATTGGCACGTAAAGCGGGCGTGCATCTGCTTGGAGATCACCGTTCATCCAAGAGTACTTGCGCCTCCCTCTTCTTCGGACATGAGAACGATGTCGTCTGCATATTCTAGATCGAAATGGTTTTCTTCACAGGCTATTTGAACACCAGGGTTTTGGAGACCCTGCAGCTTTCATCTCATTATTTCATCGATCACGAAGTTAAAAAGGAACGGAGAGAGTGGGTATCCCTGACGGACACCGCTTTGTGTACGGAAGCTTTTGGAGAGCTCTCCATACACTCTCACACGTCCGGAAGTCTGAGAATACAAAGAACGTA